ATGCCGCATGCGTCTCCCACACCCAGTACAGCGTTTCGTGGCCCCACAGGGAGCACCACCGAGGACCCCAGTGGCGCAGGCCGCATGCGTCTCCCCCACCCATCACAACGTTTCGTGGTTCCATACGGATTCCCACTAACAGGAGGTTAGAGGTCCCAGTGGCGCAGCCAGTATGCGTCCCCCCCACCCAATACAGCGTTTCATGACCCCACAGTGAACCCCACCGACGGTTCCAGGGACACAACCCGCATGCGTGTCCCCCACCCAGTACAGCGTTTCGTAGCCCTATAGGGAGCTCCACCGAAGGTCCATTGGCGCAGCCCGCATGCGCCTCCCCCCACCCAGTACAGAGTTTCGTGGCCCCATTGGGAACTCCACCAAAGGGTCCCAGTGTCGCAGCCCGCATGCGGTTCTCCCACCAAGTACAGCGTTTCGTGGCCCCATGGGGAACCCGCCCAGAAGTATATATATATATATGATATATATATATATATAATATATATATATATATATATATATTATATATATATATTCATATATATGTATCTATATATATATACACATACATACATGTATATGAGGGTCGGGGCCCGTCGACCAGCTGCCACAAGTCCCCATGGCCGCCTCCAGGGCCCCCCGGGACGTCCCCATGGCCGCCTCCAGGGCTCCCAGGCAGCCCTGGAGGCCGCCAAGATAGCCCCAGAGAGCCCAGAGTCGCCAAAAATTGCTCCAAGACCCCTAGCAGGTCCTCGAGAAAGCCTGGGAGGCTTCCAAGTCGCCCCAAGAGGCCTCCAACCGCATTCTCTTTATGACCCCACGAAGCAACATGTTTTAGTTCCCGGAGGTTTGTGAATGAGTTTCGTCATCCCGCCTGTCCGCCCCAAGACGGCTTCAGAGGCCTCCTCGGGGGGGCCAGGACGGCCCAAGCGGCGCCCCAGACGGGCCCACACGCATTGAAGACGGCCCCAGAGAGCGCCCTAAACGGCCCAAGACATTCCCAGGAGGCTCCAGAGAGCCCCTCAAATGCCCGAACAGAGGCGCCCTCTGCCCCAAGAGGCTCCTGGGGAGGCCCCAAGAGACTCCTAGGAGGCCTCAACGACGCCCCAAGAAGCCCCCAAAAGGGCTCCAGAAAGACCCGAGAAACTTTCGAGAAACCCCCACCGAGGTCGCAGGAGGCCTCCACACAGACCCTCAGAAGCCCGCCAGAAGCCCTTCGCCCTCCATGCTCCGGAACAGCCCTTCGCAACACGTGGCCCTGGCTGCACCCCCCGACCCGCCCACTCAATGTCGAGGCCCGAGGACGCCCCCATGACGCCTGCAAGACGCTCTGGAAACGCCTCTCCCGCACACGTGGACCAGGTGACCATGATGCTGATCGTCTGTGGTCCATCGTCGTCGTCGTCGTCGGTTGTCGCTGGTACGCTACAGGCCAAACCCTTCCTTGAACTTCCGAGAATCAGGCATGAGTGAAAGGGAGGAACCCTGAAGACCAAATGGAAAAGGTCCCATGGAAATCGACACCGTCTTCGGAATCGACTAGAACCTAAGCGCTCGCGGAGCGCGCGCGCGTGGTTCTAGTATATGTATGTATGCATGCATGTATGTATGTATGTCTGTCTGTCTGTCTGTCTGTCTGTCTGTCTGTCTGTCTGTCTGTATGTATGTATGTATGTATGTATGTACGTATGTATGTATGTATGTATGTAAGTATGTATGTATGTATGTATGTATGTATGTATGTATGCATTTATGTATGTATGTATGTATGTATGCATGTATGCATGCATGCATGCATGCATGTATGTATGTATGTATGTATGTATGTATGTATGTATGTATGTATGTATGTATGTATGTATGTATGTATGTATGTATGTATGTATGTAATGTAATGTAATGTATGTATGTATGTATATATGTATATAGATTTCGGCATGCGCGCGCGACGACGCGCGCGTGCGCACGTCGTCCAGCTTTTTGCACAAAGGATTCTCGGCAGCACATGATTTTTGATGCACGAGTGTGCGCGCATCACCAGCTTAATTTTAAAGAACAGAAGAAACAAACCCTAATTGCAAACACAGTTCGGGGAATCTACTTTTGAAGGTTTGGGCGGATTTCTTCGATCGGCAGTGGACCCCTCCCTGGTCCCTGGTGCGCGAAACGCGCCAGGGGTGGCGCCGGAGGCGCCGCCAGGAGGGCCCAGCGCCGATCCACACAGTCCCCGCAGACCTCCGAACGTGTGTGTGTGTGTGTGTGTGCGTGTGTGCCATCTCATTTCATGCTCTGAGGAGTCCGGTCTCCTCTGCCCTTCCCACCTGCCTTCTCCTGGGCTGCAGGAGGGAGGGCAGCCCCGCCCCTCCTGCCCTTGCTGCCCTTCCTGCTCTGCCCTTCCCGCCTCGCCCAGGGGGAGAAGGGTAGAGGCAGGCGGACCCCCCTCCCCGAAGGGGAAGACGAGGATTAGCACAACGACTTGGCATCCCTCGGACGTGTGATTTTTCCTTCTGCGAGGGCCGAGGATTATCACGGCTCATCTTGCGAACAATTGTGCCTTCGCGGCGCGGCAGGGGCGATCCGCACGCGCGCCTTTGTGGGCTCGGGCTCGGGCGCGCAGTGATTGTCCGGCTGCAAGAGAGGGGAACGGACCAGAGAGCGGCCGCGGTGGGCGGGAGAAAGCGGGAGGGCATTCATTGCACGGAGAGTTTCGTCGGGAGTGGCTGGTGCGGCCAGCCTTAGCTGAGGCAGCCTGGCAGTGGACGCGGAGCGGCATCACGGCCACACCCAGGGACAGAGGCTGCAGGCGCAGAACGCGTAGAGCAAGTCGGACCAGTACGGGATGAGAAAGGCGAGCGAGCCCACGGAAGCGGGCGGCAGGGTGACAGGCTATTGCTGCAGGCGAGCCGCCAGCGGGATGCGGGAAGGCCCAAACGCCCGCAGGGGTTGGGCCAGCGACCAGCTCGCCGCAGGAAAATGCTGCAGTACTGTCGTGTTGAGCTGCTGAGATCCGGGCTGCAGGTCTGCCAGCTGTGTTGCCGAGGGCTGCGAAGCAAGCATCAACCTGCCAGGGTCTGCTGAGCTGCAAACCGCCAACTATTGAAGTGGTGCAGCACGGGGAGATTGTGGTTGGGGACTGGGACCGTCCAGCAAGGCTGCCAGGACCAAGCCGCTGGGCAGCTGAGCTGCTGCCAGAGGTCGCTAGTGAGGCGGCCAGCGCGACTGCCAGGAGCCAAGGTTTCTGCGCAAGACTTCGCCAGCATGGCGATATGGGCAGCGAGGTGCCGCAGGCCGCCGCGGGGACGCCCCAGCGGCTGCCGGGCGCCAGGAGGCGGGAAAGATAACCGAACCCTGCCAGTGCACGCGTCACAGCCGGGTGCGGCAGGGACCTGTCGCCGCAGGGCTGGCGAGGCGGGGCGCTCAGTTTCAGGAGCAGCGGGGCATGGGCGTTAGAAGGCGTCCTCCCAGCTGGTCGCCGGCATGGGCGGGTGAAGGCGTCCCCGCATGACCACCTCTGACGCCCTGCCCCGACGGCCCCCTTTCCTGACCACGAGAGCCCCCGACCAAGGCCACGACCACGACCGCCCCCGGCCGCCCCCGATGCCCTGTCCCAACGCCCCCCCCCTCTTGCCCAGGCCACGACGACCACCCCCGACCGCGACGACGACCACGCCCACCACCGACGCCCCCTGGCCGCGGCCACGACTTCGTCCACCCCCGACCACGACCGCCCCCGTCCGCGACCCGACCCTGCCTGACGACCCCCACCGCGGCCACCCCGACGACAGCCTCCGCCCCGCCGCCCATGGTTTGCTTGCTTGCTGCTGTGCCTGCTGCTGCCCCCGGCCTTCTCTCCCTCTTGCTGCCCGCACTCGTTTTGTTTCTGTCCTCCCCTTCCTCCTCCCCCTCCCCTTCCTCCTCCCCCTCCCCCTCGTCCTCCTCCCCCTCGTCCTCCTCTCCTGGGGCATTCTCCAAGTCATCCGGCGACCTTGCCCAAGCTTTGCTTTTTGACCCCCCCCTCCCCCTGACATTATTGGCCGGGGCGGCGGCGCCGGACAGGTGATGGGAGGGACCGCGACGGGGAAGAGTACACCTTAGGCGATGCTTAAGAAAACCTAAGTTTTCGGCCAGAGTCTCGATTTTTCTTAACGTTTCAATGTAACTCCTAAGATTTTCATGGAAACGTTGGGTGTTTATTCAAGTTCTGAGACTATGAATTTCTTAACCCATGATTTCTTAAGCATTTCGCAGGGTGTATCATGATAAAAAGGACCGGGCCGCACGGCCTCGAAGCCAGCCAGGCGTGGGTTCCCAGCAGGGGCAGGGCCAGGAGGGAACCTTCTAGCGCGCGACGGCCAGGGGCCGCGAGGCCCGGACGGGGCGCGGCGCACGGCTCATGGGAGGCGGCGCCGGGAGGCTCCTCGTGCGAACGCACAAGCGCACGAGACCGAAACATGCACAACGAATGGATGTCCGAACGATGGTAAGACGAGCTGGTTAAGCCACTCACGCCCAGAGGGTAGCCTTTCCTGCCCTGCAGCCATGCCCTTCCTGTCTCACCTGAGGGGAGGGGGTAGGGAGAGGGAGACCCCCCCGACAGGGGAAAAGGTGGTTCGCAAGACGAGCTCGTTAGCCCACTCATGCCCAGATGGCTGTGGGCCTGCTCCGTCCTTGCAGCCCTGCCCTTCCTGGGAACACATGGGGAATGTAGGATTATCAAAGGCCAGAAGGTATGTAAACATATTGGGAAAATCATGGATTCTGTCTCCATTCTTGAAAACCAAGGCGCGTTGAAACAGAGGTGACGCCACACGCGCGCTAAGCAGCGTCAAAGGAGGAGGAGGAGGAGGAGGAGGAGGAGGAGGAGGAGGAGGAGGAGGAGGAGGAGAATGTCTCCATTGTTTGTGTTTGTGTTGTGTTTATGTTTGTGTTTCCCTGGGCCTCCTTATCCTCTCTTGCCCCCAGGGGTGCCTCGCGCGCGCGTCGCGCGCGCGCCGCGCTGCGAGGCGAGCAGCTTGAGAGGGTCTTCGGTCCGGAGGACAGCGCGGCCAAGCCGGGGGCGGGATGGTCGGGGGTTGCTCCGGGTGCCCCTGGCCGAAGGTGCTCCTGGAGTTTCCTCTGTCGTGGGGGTGTGCTCTAGAGGCCATGGGGACTGGGGACCTCCCTGGAAATCCTACGGGGCACCATGGGCCAAGGACACTTCCAGCACCCGGAATGGGTGCGGGGGCCAAGCAGGCGGGGCTGTGCGGCCAGTGGTTTGGATTCTCTGGGTGGGCGGCCACGCGCAGAGGGGGGTAGGGGGAGGGGGAAGTCTTTTTAGGAGCAGCCCTGCTTCTTGGAAGGCGCAGGCCTTACCTGTAGATGTAGGGCCAGCGCCTTCTAATTGGCAGCCTCCTTTCAGAAGCCTTCCCCCTCTCCCCCTACCCCCTAGTTGTGCGCCGCCAAGTGGTCTGGATTCTCTGGACTGGCGGTGTGGTTCCGATCCTGGATTCTGCGGCACGGCGGCAGGCAGTGCGGCCGGTTGGCGGCGTGGTTCGGCTTCTGGATCCTGCGGCAGTGCTCCAGGCTTTGGGGTCCGAGTAGACGGCGTCGAAGGATCGCGCCGCATCGCTGATGAATCGGCGATGCGGCTCGATGTGGAGCCCATCTTTCTCCATGCCGACGTCGCCGGTGCATCGCCGACGTCGCCGATGTATCGCCGATGCACGGGGGATGCATCGGGGATGCGGCGCCGTGCTCAGACCCCATCTATCGAACCCCACTTGGAAGGCCTCTAAAGGGCGGAGTGGTTCTGATCGTGGATTAGCTGAGTGGTCCCGATTCTGGATTTTGCGGCAGTGCTGTGTGGTTTGGATTTTTTGGATTGGCGGTGTCGTCTGGATTCTGGATTCTGTGGCAGTGCGTCGTGGTTTTGATCCTTGGTTGACGGTGTGTTCTGGATTCTGCATTCTGCGGCAGTGCGGAGTGGTCTGGATCCTGGACTGGCGGTGTGGTCTGGATTCGGGATTTTGGCTTCCGATGCGGGCACTGGCTGCACCGAGAGAGAGAGAGAGAGCTTTCTGAAAGCGTGAACGCCGATTCACCGACCAACCTCGCTGCGAAGTCGTACCGTATTTCGCCTTTCCGGAACGCGCCGACGCACCGCTCGCCCGCATCTGGAGGGAGCGAGGATCTGCGACGAGTCTAGAAGAAAAGACAAGTGCGCGAGACAAACAGCTGCACCTGACTGAGCTTTCCCAGTGCCGTGCGGACCTCTTTGTGGTCGGCGCTGCGCCCCGCTGGCGGCGCCTCCGGCGCCGAGGAGGGCGAACAGCGCACATCCAAGACATCCGTGTGGCCATCCTCCTGGACCTCCGCGACGGCCCGTCCAGCCAGCCATCGGCGTTGGCTGATTATGCTTTCACATTTTCGACCTCTACCCTTACGGGTCCACTCGACGCTATGATGTCGGGCACCCCCGCTGGGGTTCACGTGGCTACACACAGTCCTCAAACTCTGAGCCCCAGCAACTTCGTCAGAATTAGATGAATTTTAGTTGCCTGGAAGAGGAGCGAGGGGGAAGAGCGAGGATGAGCGAGGAGCGAGGGATCGAACACATTCACGACCCCCCTCAAGAGCAGCCATCCGCACCTCGCCTGGGCGCTCACCTGATCTTCGAGGGGGATCTTGCCGTGGCCCACAGGACCCTCGCCCCTCGAGATCTTTGCCCCTCGAGCCTAGCCTGTTGTCGAACCTCGAACCCCGGTCCTCGGCCCTCGATCCTCGAACCTTGAGCCTCGCCCCCCGAATCTCGAGATCCTCGCCCTTGGGAAGTCGTCCGAACTCTGGACGCTTCGCATATGCCCACCAGTTCGCCCGCGCGCTCCACACGGTACCTGGAGACCGCTTGCCTCCTCGGCACCGCTCACTCTGCCTTCCTGTCCGTCTCGGAGGCGCTCCCGCTGCTCCCGCTGGTGTTTGCTGTTCCTCGTGGAGAGCGACCGGGTCCAGGACTGCGCGTTGGGCAAGCTACCTGGGGAACTTGGTTGGGCTCTTCCTCGCTATCTCTGTCATCGCCTTCCTGGGTAAGCGTGGCGCCCGTGGACTTCCATTCGTCGTCGCTGTGGGGTCGCTCTTCCGCCGCATCTGCATCCCGTTCGACACCTGCATGGGCGTGTTCCCGGTGTCGCGTCGTGCTGCCGTCCGCGCCATTTTGGCTGCGCTGAGCTTCGTCCCGCTCTGTGCATAGCGTTGCTCGCCTTTGTTTTTTCCCTTAGCTTGTGGCACGGCCTGCCCCCCTGCTTGCGCGGCGTTCGACTCGCTTCGCGCGCCCGCGTGCCAGAAAGTATCCCCGCCAGTCCATCCAGAAACGCTGCCCATGAAAACTGACGGGGGGAGAAGGGGAGACACGCTGAGTCAAGCAGCGAGGGAGGCGGTCTTGGACGGTGTGTTGGGGGTTATCTTGAGCCAGAGGTCATCTTGGGCTCTCTGAGGCCGCTCGGGGGCCTTTTGGAGGCCTCTTGGGGG